TTGTAGTTTTCTTTATTGGTTTTGAGTGTTTATCTTAAAACTCAAGTTTCTTGGTTCTTTGCTGTTGATGTAAATCGAACATATTTGTGGAGTTGTTTAAATATGTTGGATTTTAAATATATTGGATTTTAAATTGTCATACAATTTTTTTCATCGATAGTCTGTAATTAGAACCATAACTCTTATTTATTCAAATTGTATTAATATGTAAAGACCAAGTGTAACATATATCATCGTTAAATCTTATCTTATAAATCAGTGGAACTTCAAAATCGTTAAAATTCATGGCTCCCGCCGCATTGCGTGGGTACACAACTAGTATGTATATGAAGAGATTATGTGATGGTGTAAATTGTCTAAAATACATATTAATAGAGGCTTATGATGTCTAAAAGGATATATTGGGTTCAAATAAAAGTAAATCGATAACAACTCAATACCTACAATTTGAAGATTTTACAATTCGATTAGACATCAAGTTTCTTCAGGTTGAGTTATTTTGCTTTGGGTTGTGTTGATCAGGCTAGTCGAGTTTTTGAGCACCCCTATGCACACGTGCATAAAAAACAAAAAACAACTTCAAGTACTTATATTGTCCAGATAAATGGTTACCAGTGTGTTCCTCAATTTTTAATTTTTTTAGGGTTTTCTGATCTTGAACCTCCCTCTCTCTAATGAACATTAGTCATCTTCCATTACTGTTCAAATCATAATAAACGAACTTTCATCATTTTTATATATATTACCTTAATTATAAAGTGAAAATCTTTTCTCTCTAGTAATTAGGATAGAATAGGAAATTAGATACTTATTTTAGAAAGAAAAAAAATTGAAAACTGAAATTAGAAAATTGTACTTTACGTTGACGAAGATGGAAGAGGTGGGAATTGCAATTTGCAAGTACAAAGGTAAAAACATAAACATATATACCCCAAAAAAGATTCACTCTTACTCTGACCAGATATATATACATATATGATCCAGGTTAAACATGAGCTCAGCGATATTAATGTAAAAGTAAAGTCCAACAGGTTGAGCTACACAAATATCCACTTCTGGTTTTGGCAGTATACCCAAGAAGGGTCCTTATACTTACTGCAAGAGAGAGGGCAGGGGTAATGACTATCCATGGTTTTCGTGCCCATGCAATCGAATAAGACGTGTGCTTCTCTCATGACCCTACTTTGCTAATCTCTCTGCAAAAGAACTTTTCACTGTCCATATCTTGCTCGATATTTATCACTAATGTCTTCTTGGATTCATCCCCCTCTCGCTCTCTCTCTCTCTCTGTGAAAAGAAAGAAAGTGATAAGAGTCCCACAGTATTTCGAATTGATCAGCTTGCCAGCACTAGGCTTCTTGTTGTTACACTCTTTTCAGGCTTTTCTTGCTTATTATATATTTTTTTGTATTTACACACACTTGCAGAACCAAGATTTTCGATTAGGATGAACTTCTGTAACTAGTAACGAATTTATTGTTCATCAATTGATCAATAGCTAGAATTTGGCCTCGACTATTGTAGTTCTGCAACGGTTGGTGCTAATCCGATAAGAAAATAAACCAAACGGAATATCTTATCTATTTTTGTGTGGGATAATCAATCTCATTTAGATTTGTAAAAACTGTTGAATTATGCTTATCAAGGCTAAATCCCAGGAAAACCATTTGAATAAAAACAAACAGGTTGAATCAATGCATCAGAAGATGAAAATATTGCTCTGATGGAGGCATGTCAAGAAAACAAGCAATTGCCATAAGACATGCAGGAATGTAGGTAAACTGTAATTTTTGATAAGTTACAACACAAAATTGATATTTAACAACTTAAAGAAAGATGATAATTAGACATTAGACAAAGTGATATCAAATTTGCATGCAAGTGCTTAATCACATATATAGAGACAGAGAGAGAACCAAATGAAGACATCAGTCATGTGATAAAAGAACAATAGTTATACAGCACTGTATTGCAAGGTTATGAGCTGGCAGCTCCTCAAAAGTGCCTCTGATGCATAAGATTTACCAAAAAATTGAGGCTGTCTTTGGATCCCTGGGCCAAGGTTTTTTACACACACACACATATATATATATATATATATATATATATATAAACTTGGGATCATGTGAGACCAATGGTATTTTGTGAGACCCGTAAGACCAATTCTCAACCCTTGGATTATATCTACAATCTGAACATTTATAATAACAAAATTGTCACGAGACTTCTCAATAATCACAAAATTGCCACAGTGCAACTTTATACAATTAGATCATTAGCTTATAAAGTTGATTAATAAACATAAATTGGTCTTACGGGTCTCACGAAAAACCCTTGGTCTCACGTGAACCCAACCCTATATATATATATATATATATATATATATATGGATATAGAAATGGTTTTAAGCTAAAACAGTTACCAAATAAAAAAAATATAACAACCACATAACTAAAGGAACAAGTTTGGCAAAATCAACGGGGAAAGAATACCAACGATGTTGAGTTTATCATGTCATTTTACATTAAACTTACGTGTAAAATCACATGTGATTTTGCATGATCTTGGTCACCACTTAGGTCGTGGACCAAGTCGTCCGAACGCCCTTGTGCTGACTGTGTTCCATGATCAAATATGATTTCAGCACAAAATCACATGAGATTTGGTTGTTTTCGTGTTCTCTTATTTTTTTTACCTTATTCTCATTTGATCCCCCCTCTATACACACACACACACACACACACACACACACACACACACACACACACACACA